GGATTTTTAAATGAGAATTTTAACGATCGACCTACATTTCCATGCCCTATTTACGGCGTATCACAGGCAATATCAAATACTGAGGTAAATATACTACTAGTCAACCGACGATAGTCTTTTACAGATAGGTGAACGGTACAAATATCTCCGATGTAACAGAAGGAAATGTAACGAGACGGGGAAGGGTGATAGTACGAAACGAGCCAGCACAGATACAGTCATAGAAAATTGATCATCCTCAATCCTAAAAAAAACCTTCTCTGCCCCCAAAAAAAAAGAAATAAAAAAAAAAAAAAAGCAGTGGTCGACTTTTCTCGCTCGACGTTTCCCATTTTTTATCTTCTGCCTTTTTTTTCCTCTTTTTTATTTCGTTATACGACAGGATCGACGAGCGAATTGGTTCCTATGAATTAGTACAGCTCCCTTGGCAATGTAGAAAGATCCCAATGGGACCATACAACTCCATCGGTTATAGTTATAATTTCGAAACGTAAATGATGTTATTATAAGTTTTTTACAACGTAAGAACGTAGATCGAAAAAATCGTCTTCTTTGATGATTGCATTCTTCAAATATATCGTAAGAAAGCGTAATTTGATGGTCACTTTCAGGAGTATAAGATCCTCTTAAAGAAGAATCGATATTCTTCTTGCGTTACTTACCCTCATGTGCGGCTGCATCAAAAGTTCTTGAAGTTCTCGAAGGTCGGCCCTATCGATGTTTCGTACCGTCGAGTGTTCCGCTTCCCGAAGGATCTCCTCGACTTCCCGCGCACGTTGCACAGCGTCTGTTTGTGGCGCTCGGCATGGTGTAGGTACGCGACTTGAGATCCTGTCATAAAGCTGAAAAAAAGATTAATAAGAATTACTTTTCTCCGAAAATTAAATGCAAACGTATCATCATTCAAATGGCATTAATCGTTTCATTAATTGTATTACAAAAGAAATTATAAACACAGACACGCAAGGAAGGATCGAAGATTATTGAAGATCGAATCGACAGATGGTGATAGTTCATATTCAAACCATTAGATGTCCTAAGCGGACAATAGAAACTCATGTTTATCGTACGAGCATTTTAATTACTAATTAGGATAGATTTATTTGAATTAAAATCGAAGGCAGGTAACTCACCAGGAGACCTGCGATTTCTAACAAGTTGGCGGCCAATTCGGTCTCGCCAAAGAACATTAGCTGACAGATATGCATCTTTCCGTTAAAACCGATGAAGAAGAAGTATCGACCGAAGGACAGGATCATGCTCTTGTCATGCTCTTGTTAACATCGTATTGTGAGCACGCGAGACCCGTCGAAACACCGTACTTTCCCGCACACCTACGCTCGCGTGACCATCCGATAACGCAACCCCCCACGATAGTACGTGGCATTTTGTTTATCAGGACTCCAGCTCGGCCATCTTGGTAACAGAAAGGGCGGCGCTTGCGCCAATTTCGAAAGTTCGTCGAGGGTGGACGTACGATATCTTTCCCACGGGATTCGAAGGGTGGAGAAGTAAAGAGAGCGGAATCATGAAGATGGTGGCTCCGCAGTTGGAGAGACTTCTAAAGTTCTTCGTTCTCGTAGGTGGTTGAAATAAAATGAAAATGTAGGGAGTAACTTCATCGACACGGTGGATCGATACGAGAACGAAAGAGTTAGTGATTGAAGATGAAAAGTTTGCCACGCCTTGGTATAACCATCTCATGATAAAATGATTACTAAGAAATTGATTTCCTCTGTTTTACCCACAATTTTGTTACTTCTAGAAAACGTACTCTCTATATTGTTCACGGTCGATCCTATTCTATATCTTCGATATCACTCAATTTACCACGTGAAAATTGGTCCAAAGGATCTCGTTAAGAGCGCTAAATTTGGAATAAATCCGTGAAATATGTTCCCTTCGTTACGACCTTGCTTCTATCAATAGAAAACTCTCCCCTGTTTATTACGATCTCATTAGTGTTTGTTATTCGAGTAATAATAGCCTACCTCTAAAATAGCTCGAAGGCGATAGTCCTCAACTGCGTTAAGAATTTCACCACGCGTCAGTCTACCGCTTTCTTGCAAAACTTCAATATCGTCGAGCGAGTCCAAAATTTCAGCGACAGCTCCTATTAAAAGAAAGAGAATGAACAATCGTTTTTCTTACGTCTTATCGTCTCTCGATATTTAATAAATTTCATTCTTCTTATATAAATTTCATGAGCATACCGGTAGTCGTGACTTCGTCATCGCCAACATCGGAAAGGCTGTCGCCATTAGTTTCCGAGTAAGGGGCGTGCCACTTTGCCGAAGAGACAGCAGCTTTCACAGCATCTTTCAATTTTCGTCTCGCGTTGAATTTTTTAAGTTCTTCTATAGTGTCGCCTAAATGTATTCGTGCTGCTCCCTTATCGCGATCCTATAAAATTAAATAATTATTATAAATATAGAATTATAGAAATAGGACAAATCGGACTAACCGAATAATAATTATTACGATACTGTAATGAATATTATATCTAATTATGTATGTATGTATTTATGTATAATATATTCATTAAATGTGACATGTATGAAATTTAATTTATTCATGTAACAGATACGCATAGGAAATTGATACGTATATCCTTCATTTAATGAAAAGATAAACTCGACGTTCGTCCTTCCTGTTTGAACGTTCGAACGTAAATGAAAGACCCTTTAAAATTCGATCGACAGATTTTATGTTTACATCTGCATTCGCAGATATCTATAGGCAAAACAATCAAACTAAAATATTTGAGGAAAGACGGCGAAGAATCACTTTGACATATACGTATAATAAATAAATACTCGTCTTAGATTGGCGCACCATACTACATCATCGATCGGCTGGCCCGATGTGGCATATTTCACATAGTTGCCTTTGTAATAAGGTGCGTCGTGTCAAGAAGCGGGTGTCCCACTTGGACGACAATACTTGCATAATTTTATCGATAAAAGTATAATAATAGATGCGGTTTTATGAAGAAAATGGTGAAAAGTTTTCGCACGAAAATCTCGCCATTTGAAAGAAAAAAAAAAATAAAAAACAAAAAAAAAAAATAAAAGAAAGAAAGAAAAAAGAAAAGCAACGTACTCGGTATATTACATAGAAACATAAATGTACGTACATACGTATATAGATATATACATACATAGGTATATAGAAGCTACGTCGTTTTCGTTTAGAGTCGAGCCGAGGAAAAGTAAACGATGAACGTAACGGTTTGCTACGAAGCTGCCCTCGTAGTCCGTGTCAATGTGGGCGTGGGTGTGTGTGTGGGTGTGTGTTCTACGAACGTGCGGCCGTGTGCAAAAAAAAAAGGAGGAAAAAAAAACGTTAAGTGGCGCGGCCCGAGGTATACTTTACTATGGTTATTTTCATTAACCGTTGGAGCTTTGCCCTCACGATAACAATCGATAACCCACTTGCACGTGTATTACTACATCGATACACATGGGGTACCGGCGAGTCTTGCTTAGGTCACTGACTAAATGCCGTACCACACGCATCGTTATACCATTTGCACACGCACCCACGTCGCAAAGAAATGGCAGACTATTATAATATACCGAAAAAGAAATGTCAAAAGTATTTTCTAACTGCCGTTCTTTCCGAGAACGAACGTAAGAGAGGAAACGAAAATAAAACATGTTAAAATGAGCCAGACGGAAAACAACATTAATCGCCTCAAACCACGCTGTTTATTCTCTAGCCGGTAAAGTTTCCCTTCGATCGAATTATTTTTATTTCATAGCTCTTTATATACTGTGGTCTATGTGATAGTATAGTAATTTATTCTCTCTCTATTTCTCTCTCTCTCTCTCTCTCTCTCTCTCTCTCTCTCTTTCTCTCTTTCTCGTAACACATCGATGACGTCGATCGTATGTAGAACGTTGTCATTCCTGATGGTATCGTCACCAGTCGAGCAAGTGTGCTTCTACTCACTCTGAGCCATTTATGATTGAGGACTTCTTGAATAGTGATCCTGTGATTTACATCCGTCGTTAACATTCTCTGTATGAGGTCCTTCGCTGGCTCGCTAATGGAGTCCCACAACGGTGTTTCCATCTGCAAATTCAAAGGAATATATCATTGAAAAGAACATTCACCCTTTCCCTCTCTCTCTCTCTCTCTCTCTCTCGTTTCATTTTTCTTTTCTTTTTTACATTTCTTGAAAAATCTATCTTTTTCAAAGTCAGATGAGAAAAAATGTCAGGTAAAAAGGAAAAGAAGTCTCATACCTGAACTCGTCCTCTACAAATTGCCTCTCGTAGCCTTTCGCGAGAACCCACAAATGGAAGGGTGCCGGTAAGAAGAACATGAAGGAGAACACCAGCCGACCAAACGTCACCTGGCTTCCCATACTGCCGACGTTGAATCACTTCCGGTGCCATGAAGTGTGGACATCCAACGCGACCTGTGTGACCGAGAACTTCGTGAGAAAATAAAGAGATAAATGATAAGTCATTCGTTCGACCGATAAAAGCATAAGCGGGCCGAAAGTGAGAATGATTGGAATGTTTTTGCGATTGATCTTTGCAAGGTAAGCTATAAATGCGCTTGAATACGACTTTTTTTTCGATATGCATGCGCATTGCACGATAAATATGAGCGATCGTCCGCGGTCCTCGCTTTCGATCACTCGAGCGATAAAATCAGATGGGAAAATGATGAAATGAAAGATAGAAAAAGAAAAAGAGAGAAAGAGAGAAAGTGAAAGAGAGAGAGAAAGAGAGAGAGAGAGAAAAAAAAAGAGAAAAAAGAAAAATAAATGAATTAGGAATTTTCAATTGTCGAAGTTATTTTTTCATCGACTGGATATGAAAAATGGAAACGATGTTAAGAAGAAAAATTATTACATTTTTAAATAAAAAGAAGCAGCATGAGAGCAGTTAATCAAGAAATAATTAAATCGGGTCGAACACTATGCTCTTGCTAACAAAGAATTGAGCTAATTTCGAGACAAATCGACATTGATTGTAATTATCGAATTGTGACTCGAGCAACTTAGCATGAGTTCGTATCACAAATGCACATCATAAAATCGTAGAAACAACACGTAAAGCGACATGAAAACGAAAATGGTGTCGCGTTTTAGTGCTAAAACTTATGCTTACGTGCAAATACGCGAGAATTAATGCGATGTTAATATCCAACAAATATTATAGCCTCATTAAATAATCACATTGGATCTATCACATTTATATATCTATGAATAAAATTAAAATTGATTTTTAAATTTGATTTAAACACGTTATTACTCCCAATGAATTTATTTATGTAAGAGAATTAAGAAATATACACTATATACTGTAGAATGATATATGTGTATGCATATATATGTATAATTCGCATAATATGAAAAGATGTAACGTTGATCATTTGATAGACGTATAAACATGTTATTTCTATCTCTACTTGTAAGTCTCACGTTACGTTGCGTACGACGGCACTGCTTTTATTCGTACGAATTATTTTGTTTCTTAAAAGGCCAATTTAGCTCGTTTAAGTAATTAACTCTTATTAAAACCTTGACATATGGGTTACTTTTCGCAACATCAAAACAATAGAAATATAAAAGAACAACGTTTTATTTGTCTTTATCCAACTTATTATACGGTTTAAACGAAATGAGCATGAAAATATCCTGATGATGATGATGATAATGATGATGATGAAGATTTTGTTCATGAATGAAAAAGATAATTAAAAGTTAATTAAACAAACATATACGTTTAGTAAATCTAATTACATCTACTACACGCTTTGTGATATACTACAAGAAGAAATTTGTAAAAGTGCAAGGAAGAGAATATATTAAAAATTCCAATGGAAAAGCATGAACAAAGTTTTGAGACTAAAGTTAAACAAGGAGAAGAACATGAAGAACACATTTTAACATGCAATGCTAAATTCAATGATCTTGTTTCATTGTCACATAATTCAAAAGAAACGAATAAAGATTTGATTTATTTGATAGATCTCGAACGCAATTTTTGCATTCGAAACACAATCGACGACGATACGATGCATTTAGCTGTTGAAACAATAAAGCTTCCTAAAAGAAGCTACTTTCTTTTTCCTTTTTTTTTTCTTTGCTGAGACGAATTCAATAATCAATTTCAACGTAAATTAATAATATCGCTGGATTAACACATTATCCGTGCTAATGAAATATACCTAATTATTCCGTTTACGAATGTACGAAATAATAAAATAGTTGATTAGATGCACTATACTTTGTACTTTGTAGGGAAATCAAAGGAAGGACTGACATATATAACATATGCACATATTTTCTCTTATACATTTCCAACCGAAACATCCACCGAGATCTTATACTCCTATGATCGTTTAACAATTCAAAAATGATTTTAGGAATAATACCATAAAAGAGATATTTTCGAATTCCTTTTTCGAGAACATCTCTTACAGAATGAATATCTTATACCTTGAGATACTTTTTGAATTCTTATGGATACGGCCTCGTCGAGTCGAGAAGATCATAAGACGAACATAAAGCCACACAAATATAGACGGACACACAAAACAGGCTAGTCTATTACTACGGACAATGACGGCATAAACAGGCCCACATATTTTCGGGCAATTATCGATCGACTTGGTTTGATAAAAGAATTATATACACACACACACACACACATATATATATATATATATTATAATTATTTTAATATATATATTAAAAAAAAAAAAAAATATATATATATATATATATATACATAAAGAACAAGAAAAAGAAGAAAGAAAACCATCGAAGGGTTTATTACTCTCACGCTCTCGCATGTAACATGTTACATTTACATGCACATATTGCATTGCATGCGTTCCACATTCCGTATTGCACATTTATAAACATGTAATAACGAAAAGATTGCACGACAAAATTGAGAAAAATGAGACGGCGGATATGGTAACGAACCCTTCGATTTTACAACAAATTCGATCTTACATAGGTTTACTACATTACGACGAAGAAGCAGAGCTCGGATCATTCTCGCGGCTACAAAAACGACATGACGTCGAAGGACAAACGGAGACTGAGGAAGACTTAAACTATGAAAGGAACGTCCTCGATAATTTATTATAAAGGTACTGTTTTTTTTGTCTCCAACAAATTTAGGGCAGCTCAACGGCACAATAAATATATCTGTCAACTATATGCGGCCTGCACAATGACTTTTACAGGGGGTTGGGGTGGGGGTGGGGAAGATACTACCGCACACAGGTTTCAAATGGAACGTCTATAAGGACGCTCACGATATATAGGTGGTATATATATATGTATTATATATTAGACTTATTAGAGAAGCGGATATGACCGAACGACACGGGGGTAAAAAAGCCCCTTGCCAATCGAAGTTTCGAAAGTATTTGAAAGATCTTATTCGAAATCAATTTAAAACTTTTATGTTCGAGAGAGAGAGAGAGAGAGAGAGAGAGAGAGAGAGAGAGAGAGAGAGAGAGAGAGAGAGAGAGAATGAATGAATGAAAGAAAGAAAGAAAAAAAGAGAAACAAAAAAAAAATAAGAAATAAAAGAAATAAAGATAGAGAAATAGAAACGGAGAAAGAACAGCAAAATGCCTTTTTCGAATAATAAATGAACGGACTTATAGTGGTACATACACAAATGGACGTGTATGTATCTATGTACATATACGAAAAACCCGAAGTAGAAAACAAGAATGTTTCTTTTCTTTTTTACGATCGTTCGTGTGGTAAAAGACACGAATTCAAATCGATGGACCGTAAAGGGAGAAAGACTTTCTCGAAAGATATAAATTTCTTTACGTTTCTACCCCCGTGCGTTGCGCCACTCTTTTACGGAGATCTTGCAGGCACATCAATACCAATGTTGTCCTCCGTGTCGCTGACTAGCGAATCCTCGGCGTCGGTCAGGTCCTCGAAAGGGAAATTGCAGCTCGGGGAGGTCAGCCCTATCGAAACAACACAGAGAGAAAAGGAGAAGGATAGTTATCCTCAGGATAATAACGCATTTTACGCAGCGTCTGCTATCATTCGTCGATTATATTTTACAGAGAGAGAGAGAGAGAGAGACAGAGAAAGACAAAGAGAGAGAGAGAGAGAGAGAGAGAGAGAGAGAAAGAGAGAGAGAGAGAAAGAGAGAGAGAGAGAAAAAAGAGAGATTAAGAGGGAGAGAGAAAGAGAAAGAGAGCGAAATGCTTTCATCGAACATCGTCGTTGCTCGTAGAAGACCGACCTGTACGTGATGCGCCGTTTTATCTTTCTTTCTTATCTTTTCCTTTTTTATTTTTCTTTTTCTTTTCTTTTTTCATATTTTTACTGTTCCTTCATACTGTTTATCCTTCTTTGCTTTTCTTTCGATCGATACGTGGAACTCTGTTTCGGTTGTACCAGATATCTTCACGATTTCTCTTCTTTATCGTAGACATTTTCTATCGGTAAAGGATAGTGCGATCCTTGTTAAGTAATATAACAGTGTGAAATAGGTATATATGAGAGTCGAGATGTGGGCCTACGAAATGCGTTCGAAAGTCGTTCTCAATAGCGTCACGTCTGATGTGTTTTATAATAAGACACTGATATATAATCATACTGACATGAATTACAGCGAGACGTTAATCAACACTGAGAGTGGATAGAGATCAATGTGGACGGGTGAGTTTAAACGATTCATATGTCTATAATGATTGTATGTTGTGTTAAATATGTTTGGTATGATGAAACGTAAAGGAAACATATATAGGACATTCTCAGATGCGTGCTTTAAGGATGGCAATGAGTTCGAGAGGTAACGAAAAATAAGAAAGAAAACTTGATATAACTTGATGGAAATCTCGGAAATTTCTTTTTTTTTCTTCTCTCTTTCAATTTACGGTTGAACTTTAAGCTGAAACAATAATCTAATGAATAATTTACGTAACGAAACACGCTGGAATTGCATCTGTGTTCAAACACTTGGCTAAGACTCAAGTATTGAATCACGTTAAAGAAGAAGATGAGAGAAATAAAAAAAAAAATAAAAGAAAGAAGAAAAAGCAAACGTTAGAACAACTTTTTCGTTCGTTTAGATTCTCAAAGAAAAGTCTTTAAACTTATACGTCTCGTATTTATTCAAAATGTAAATATATCCAATGAACAATTTGCAATATATTAATGATGAAATAATACGTATTTTAGAATACTTCATTAATGTCAATGATGTTGAATATGATTAAAATAAACGTTCAGTTAAGTAAGCCAGACGAGACTAAAGCGAAGCGCTTTTGAATCTGTGAACTACGTTGCCATATTTAAAGCACAGGTTTAGAGAGACACCCTATACAGAAAATGAGTCAACATGACCGATATCGTCGGGACGCGGAAAGCAAGCAAGCAAGCAGTGGCGGCTTCTAGAATACAGTAATGTGATAGGAATACACGGATCGGGTTAAAACGTAGCATAATACAATCTGGGTTGACGTAATAAGTATGTGTAATATATATGGCGTGATGATACAAGGCTCCAGCGGAAGTGATGATTAAAGGTCAAGCTTACCCTCGCTGTCGGCCTTCAAGTAGAGCTGCCCCTTTGGGCTCAGACACTGCCGATACTCGGTTGTGTAACACTCTGTATTCATTCAAACCAAATTTCAGGTTATCAAATAACTCGTAATACAACTTTATTCTTTCCTCGTCTTGTATGCTAACTATAATAACACTTTAAGGACTTTTTAATGGTACTACGTGCCCGTGGTATGTATGTTCGAGAAAACGTATGATTCCTAAGATAATCAGCTAAGACTTGCAGAATTAAAAGTTTCATTCTACATTTTTAGTAAGTAGATATTACTACTTTTTTACTTTCTTATTTATATCGACATTGAAACTCTGTAAGGGGGAAAGAAATAGTAAGGAAATTGATCTCTTGATGATAAAGAATATCTACTTCAAACAACTCGCCCGTAAGTTCGCTTATTAAAGATTTACTTTCAAAAAGAGTGCGGAGAAAGCTAAGTGTCCTAGTTCGCGAGAGCGTTCTCCCATTGGTGCCTGTCCTACTCTTGGACTGTCAAATTAGTTCGAAACTCTGAAGATTGTGGATGATGGAAACAGTGCTCGAAGGGATTTACTCCTTATATTGTCAGCCAAATGTTTCTCGTATAATGCAGTATCGAGCTTTCTCTCTATATCTTGGAAAGAGAAGTGTCTAGGTAATAACGAAATGCCCCCAATCGAGTTTTTCATTATGACATTAAGTAAGTCACGTAAGTTAATTATATTCCGATTTGAATTGATTCGAATTTGATTTTGTTGAAAAGGAAAATAGACAAAGGATCGTCGCTTGTTAATCATTTTTATAAACACACAACAGGTGACAATTAGTTATCGTTATATTTATAATGCAATAATTCGTGTATGTAAATATGTTATTTCACCAATATTCCCCTAAAACGCTCGAAAGCTGGCAAGCACTCGCGATAGCATGAGTGCCGATCAAAGTGAATTGACCGACATATTAAGGTGCACTCTTTCAACAGCTCTTAACGGCAATATACTAACGGCAAACGTGTGTATATATTATATATAAATATATACATATATATATATATATGTATATGTATATATATATATATATATGTATATGTATATTAGTTATACAACGTCGAAAAAACCCATACCAATTCCTAGGAAGTATTCGATATTATGATATATTTCGACGTGTCTCACCGCTTCAACGTCGTCTGGCTTTTTATTTCAAAACGGAGAGATTTTAATCTGCAATCGTTTCGACAGTATATTTATTGTAGAACGGATTTGACTTTCGTTCAATGAGAAGAAGCTTCTCTCTCGCCTTACTTCGGATATGATTCGGTTCGTTTGACGTTGAAAGCACACGATATCGAAGCGGTGGAAAAAATCGTAAAAGAGAGATACCAATTCAATGCTGAATATTAAGAAGCAGAAACGTGGTGTCTTCAAAAAGTAAAAAATATAACCGATAAAAGCCGTTGCATTCTGCACACCGAACACTCAGAGATTTTGAATGTGACTGCCAATCATCGATCAAGCCAACCAATGGTTCTATCGCAGAACAGGGCATTCCCACAGAGAGAAAGAGATAGAGATAGAGAGAAAGAAAAGAAGAGACCATTGAGAGAAAAAAAAAAGAAAAAGAAAAAAAAAAGAAAAAAAAGAAGAAGAAGAAAAAGAGGCAAACACACGCGCGCATAACATCGTGTGTTCGCGCAATATCTTTGTTCGGATCACATTGTCGGAAATAGAACGAATCGATGTTCAAAAATATTGCATTAGAGGTTCTACAAAGGCACACATTGAATACCATCTTCCAAAGAGAACACTGTATATATATACGATATCGCGCGAACGCGCTTCTTCATGCTCGATTGTTCCGATTATGACCGGGACAGGCCGTCGCGTTAATTACACTGCAATTATGTAACGTACATGATAACTCGATGCAGAAATTTAACGTCATTTGCTGGCGACGATACTGCCACCCTTTGATCACATTCTATGTATACTACAGGAAGTTTCATTAGCCACGATGACGGCCGTACGCTCAAGTAGAAGTAAAAGGAAAACAAAAAATGATTGTTCCTTGAATAACGTTAATCACGCTATGTCAGCAAACTTATTCAAACTAATGTACGATAAATACATTTAGACTATTGCTTTCACGTCATTTTCTTTCTGCTGAATTTTTGAAAACTTTTCTTATAGCAATGCACTTAGAAAAGAGATCGACTTGCTTAACAATATTCGTTAACGTACCTGTCATAAATAATAAATTCTATTCCCTGAAACGACAAAATCACTTTATAACCGGAGTAATACAATTTTATCAATTTCAGCGATTAGATGATAAAAGAAAATGATTGAATTTTTTCTTTAAATCATACAAAGGAAAATTATCGTAATAATAACGTTAAATGCTAATTTATATTCTTTACACATTGAAACGCGAATGAAATAACTTGAAGTTGAATTATCGCGAAAGCGATGTAAGTTGATGACAGTTTAAAAGTAATTAACATCAATGCGGAACTGAATAACTTTCGTTGATGCTTTCCTCGTACGGAATTGGTATTGAATATTGCCTTTTAAATAAAACCACTTTAAAAGATTAAACGTTACGATATATGCTCGAGTAGCTCGGCTGATCCGACTATAATATTAAAAATAATACGATAAATATTATTAGTAATATAATAGTATTATTCTCGGGAGTGGTGTTAGTTAGCACGACGTTGGCAAGGTTAATAGAGTGAATAAAGAAGGAAGAGATAGGTTGGATAATCCTTTCAGCTTCAATGAATCTTCCGTTGTTTCTTGGTCGTAATCGCATAATTGCAACAAAATTTCTATAACAATAATCCGAAAGATGAACAAATGTCCAAACAAATGTTACGAAATATTTCTTATGAATAATAATAATAATAATAATAATAATAATAATAATAATAATAATAATAATAATAATATATATATATATATATATATATATATATATATATATATAGCTTTCGTTGGAGAAAGAAATCTTTAGTTTGTTTTCGTAAAAAATACGGAACAGAGGGATTCGCACGATAGGCATAGCCAATATTTTCTACCTTTCCATTCTTGAGAACGAATGGAACTCGAGCAAGAGTCGATACGCCGACGTCGATATATATATATATAAGTATGTATGTACATGTAAGCACATACATCGAGGTAAAATGGGAGTGAATGACACAGGATGAAAAAGACAGGAGAGTAGAGTAGTGTAGAGTGAAGTAGAGTAAAGAGTGGGAGAGAAAAAAAGGGAAAAAAGAGAGAGAGACAGAGAGAGAGAGAGAGAGAGAGAGAGAGAGCCAACGTCGCGCAATGTTCTCCCTAGAGAAGGTAGGAAAGAGTACATTAGATAGAACGTGTGTGCAAACACGGTCGAATTGTAAGAAGAATTGAACATACCAACACCGTTTGCCTGCGAGGACGCAGGAAGTTGCACAGCGACACCAAAACCGCGCAGCTTCACCGGCGCAGAATTTTCCTTTCCTGCGAGTAAGGCGCACTGCGGTTTCAAATCACGATGGATTATGTCGTTCTCGTGGCAGTAGCGCAATGCCTCCAGGATTTGTCTCATGTAGTGGCTGGAAAATAAAAGAAGGAGAGATGCCTGCTTTAGTTTCTTACTCTGAATGTGCACCACGGGAGCGTAAGCTCTGTATTTTCAACCGTTGAAACGCATCGCACCGAGTTAGAACGAGCTTTAACCCACTTGCTTTCGACCCTGCCCTTTCTTCTGTCAACGATTTCGCGCTATTGAACTTTCTCCAAAATAAGATTCTATTCATGCGCTTCTTCTTTTTTTCTCTTTCCTTCTCTCTCTTCCAATTAAATGAGTTCTGACTTTTTCAAGAGATAAGTATCCATTTGTTTGTACTTATTTTAAGATCTAAAAGAATTCACTGACATATTTATTTATTTATATAATGAATATACATAATATAATAGAGCCTGTAAAATTAAGCGTTGGCCATATTTATTCAGCTTGTCGACGTTATTATGATCGAGTACGTTAAATAGGAAAAAAGAAATGAGATTAGAGATATAAAGGCTATTTGGTAAAAATGAGGTACAGATAAGAAAAAATTCAGGTTGGTTTCTTATTCCGCGCCTGTCAAAAATTCGATAAGCATTTCGTTCAAAGCAAAGTTCCATGTAATCAGTCTAGTCTAAATGAAATATGAGCCGTAACTCGCAGTCTAATGCGACACACAGTTTTCGTTTGTATCGTACTCATTCAACATTAGTCTCATAGTAGTTAGGAGTTTTAATGGGGACTCTTGAGGTTACAATCTTTTACCACCAGGTAGGATTTTGTTCCCAATGTGAATGACCACATTGGATGTCGGGTAATTTGAAGGAAAATTTACCGAAACGAAAGTAAATCTCCGTCGAAAAAAATCTCATTTACATTTTATAAAAAGTACAAAGACCACGCGATAAAAATGACGAATGAAATGAAACGTGTGCTTCGGAAAAAGAAACTTTTATACATCTGACGAATGAAATTCAAATCTTTAAACCATCAATTATATTCTAACGATAAAAGGATAGAATTTTAATCGAAACGAAAAGAGAGAGAAGGAGAGAGAAAGAGAGAGAGAGAGAGAGAAAGAGAAAGAGAGAGAGAGAGACCAAAGAGGATTTTAAATGTCAGTGAAGGATGGTAGATTTTTAATAACTTCCGGAGGACATCCCAACATATATAGAACTTTAACGTATATATACATATGCACCGCTTGTAGAAGTATGAGATATATACATATATAGAGGCGTTGGTATACGCCTATCGTACAGAGTTCGAGAGCTTAACCAAACTGTAGGAGCTTTGATTGCAGCGCATTTCCCGTTCATAAAAGTAAAACGACTCGAGCGTAGGAATTTTCATAATAAAGAAAATAATATAAAGAGAATAAAAAAAAAAAAAAAAAAAAAAAAAAAAAAAGAAAAAAAGAGAAAGAGAGAGAAAACGAACCTGATAAAAAAGTATCTTTTATGAAAGAAAAATTAACTTTTAGAATGAAAAAATATTGCAAAAAGTTACGCTTATTCGTATTTTATTAAATAACGCGCGTATCTACGTTTCTAAATATTTGGATACTTTAACGAAACGATCGATATATGATAAATTATCTTACCTAGCAACTGCTTCGCTATAGACGAAACCAGCGGTCGCTCGTCGAACTACTTCGAAGCATAGATCCGAGCCGTCCATACTGAAAAAGAACCGTAACATTAATATATAATTTATACGATGTCGGTTTGCTTCGTGTACCGTTTGCAAATGCATCGTTAAAGTCCGCATCGCGTTTAGATAAATCAAGCGAGAAATAAACGTCGAAATGAGTGTTGTTATGGAACGAAAAAAAAAAAAAAGAGAAAGAAAAAAAAAACAATCGTTTCTTCTTGCATACAGAAAAAATCTCCTTGTAAGA